GCGGTCATTTAGACATACGTAAGGAGACGGTGATTTCTCTGTTAATATGAGAGTTCCAATAATCTTCTTTCTTTGCTGCCGGGGGCGATTCACCAATCGGACATGAAAATGCATCGGGACACCTGCTAGAGCATATTTAGAGTTAGATACAATAGAGCCAAACAATGAATTAAACTGCATCATAAAGTTTTTTCGTGCGTCAGCGATGCGAAGGGCCTGGAGTCTAGGAAGTGACCGAGTCAAAATATAGAAAGGGAGGTGCAGCAGGCCCACAATTGGAAATATTGCTGTTAAGTAGAGACCAGTATTCCACTAATGATGGGATTTTCCGGTTGTCACTAACAATTTCTGAATTTAAGTATTGTGTAACAAGCTTGTAATTACACGTTGTATGTATGAAGACGTTGAAGTAACAGAATTAGGCTCGGAATATCTAATCTGGTAAGTGTTGGGGAAGTCGGTGCTGTTGCCGAGTTGGTGTTGTTAATCCTTGATGGAACAGCCAGTGTATTTGACAAGCCATTGGTTAGGTCCATCTAAGTGGTTTCCATAAATTACCAAAACTTTTCCTACAGCAGTACATGTGTCCGTACATGATGTTGAGATAAATGCTCCCTTCATATGTATCTAACCATATCAACTCATGAGGCCTATGGAAAAATAATCTTAATTTATTACATGGATTCGTGGGAGGCAATGCCTTTTGATTTTGTCTGGCATTTCTACTATGATAGAGAACATGATTTTTTTGCGAATTAATTGCAGAAACTAATATGTTAAGGCCAAGGTTTCGCATTTTGACTAACATTAGACAACAGTTACATATTAAATAGGAAATATCATTATTTGACGACTACGAAATTGGAGAAATATAACGTTTTTGTATGGCAATGGTGAATTATGAGACATATAGTGTTATGGTAATGCGACGATGATATTCGAGGCCTATAGTGTTATGGTATGGCGACGATGATATTCGAGGCCTATAGTGTTATGGTAATGCGACGATGATATTCGAGGCCTATAGTGTTATGGTAATGCGACTATGATATTCGAGGCCTATAGTGTTATGGTAATGCGACGATGATATTCGAGGCCTATAGTGTTATGGTATGGCGACGATGAAATTGGAAGCGCATCGGGGTATTTTTGTTCAAATGCTAATTTCATTTAGATCACTTTTCGCTTTGTGCTATATACATTGTTGGACGAATTAAATCGCATTTGTATCAGAACACCTTGAAATTGTAGGCCAATTACATCACGGTATGAACGCCATGAAAATGGAAACTGGAACGAGATGGGGGCACTGTGGAATTTGTGACATGCAACAATACTGTATAGGCAATGTATTTCACGGAAATTCTCTAAAATAAACTTCTTTCTAGTACATTACTTTATGCTTTGATGTATAATTTCTTCTATTACATTTGAAAGTGTGTACAACTTTTCCGTTTGTTCTGAATTACTAAGGTGCATATATGTTATAGTCCTAAATGACAGTATCAAAGTACACGAAAATAATGCCGAAAATCTAACGGAGGACATATATCAAAGGGTATGTTGTATAAGGTGTTAGACTGTGAGCATGAAGACGGAGGGAAAATAAAATTAGCGGAGTTGCTTAAATGTCTGTTGCAAAAGTCGTTGACACTTCCGATTATTAATAATACACGTCAAATGCCTGTTCTGCCTATTCCTAAATAGTTACTATTTTACAAAAAAAAAAGAGGCAAGATTTTGAAAACGTTCGTAAGACAGATTGACATTCTTCTACTGTCACGTAACATGCCTTACTAAAACCTCATTTAGGTCGTGAAGCCAATTCAGATTCGCCGAAGTCAATGTCAATGTAACACACTAGTCGAGATACTGACAGAAAAAAACAAGTTATATAGAATAACACACTAGTCGAGATACTGACAGAAAAAACAAGTTATATAGAATAACACACTGGTCGAGATACTGACAGAAAAAAACAAGTTATATAGAATAACACACTGGTCGGGATACTGACAGAAAAAACAAGTTATATAGAATAACACACTAGTCGAGATACTGACAGAAAAAACAAGTTATATAGAATAACACACTGGTCGGGATACTGACAGAAAAAACAAGTTATATAGAATAACACACTGGTCGAGATACTGACAGAAAAAACAAGTTATATAGAATAACACACTGGTCGAGATACTGACAGAAAAAACAAGTTATTGTCATATAGAATAACACACTGGTCGGGATACTGACAGAAAAAAACAAGTTATAGTCATATAGAATAACACACCGGTCGGGATACTGACAGAAAAAACAAGTTATATAGAATAACACACTGGTCGGGATACTGACAGAAAAAACAAGTTATATAGAATAACACACTGGTCGAGATACTGACAGAAAAAACAAGTTATATAGAATAACACACTGGTCGAGATACTGACAGAAAAAAACAAGTTATTGTCATATAGAATAACACACTGGTCGAGATACTGACAGAAAAAACAAGTTATATAGAATAACACACTAGTCGAGATACTGACAGAAAAAACAAGTTATTGTCATATAGAATAACACACTGGTCGAGATACTGACAGAAAAAACAAGTTATATAGAATAACACACTAGTCGAGATACTGACAGAAAAAACAAGTTGTTGTCATATAGAATAACACACTGGTCGGGATACTGACAGAAAAAACAAGTTATATAGAATAACACACTAGTCGAGATACTGACAGAAAAAACAAGTTATTGTCATATAGAATAACACACTGGTCGGGATACTGACAGAAAAAAACAAGTTATAGTCATATAGAATAACACACTGGTCGGGATACTGACAGAAAAAACAAGTTATATAGAATAACACACTGGTCGGGATACTGACAGAAAAAAACAAGTTATATAGAATAACACACTGGTCGAGATACTGACAGAAAAAACAAGTTATATAGAATAACACACTGGTCGAGATACTGATAGAAAAAACAAGTTATATAGAATAACACACTGGTCGGGATACTGACAGAAAAAACAAGTTATTGTCATATAGAATAACACGCTGGTCGGGATACTGACAGAAAAAACAAGTTATAGTCATATAGAATAACACACTGGTCGAGATACTGACAGAAAAAACAAGTTATATAGAATAACACACTGGTCGGGATACTGACAGAAAAAAACAAGTTATTGTCATATAGAATAACACACTGGTCGAGATACTGACAGAAAAAACAAGTTATATAGAATAACACACTAGTCGAGATACTGACAGAAAAAACAAGTTATTGTCATATAGAATAACACACTGGTCGAGATACTGACAGAAAAAACAAGTTATATAGAATAACACACTAGTCGAGATACTGACAGAAAAAACAAGTTATTGTCATATAGAATAACACACTGGTCGGGATACTGACAGAAAAAACAAGTTATATAGAATAACACACTAGTCGAGATACTGACAGAAAAAACAAGTTATTGTCATATAGAATAACACACTGGTCGGGATACTGACAGAAAAAAACAAGTTATAGTCATATAGAATAACACACTGGTCGGGATACTGACAGAAAAAACAAGTTATATAGAATAACACACTGGTCGGGATACTGACAGAAAAAAACAAGTTATATAGAATAACACACTGGTCGAGATACTGACAGAAAAAACAAGTTATATAGAATAACACACTGGTCGAGATACTGATAGAAAAAACAAGTTATATAGAATAACACACTGGTCGGGATACTGACAGAAAAAAACAAGTTATAGTCATATAGAATAACACACTGGTCGAGATACTGACAGAAAAAACAAGTTATATAGAATAACACACTGGTCGGGATACTGACAGAAAAAACAAGTTATAGTCATATAGAATAACTCACTGGTCGAGATACTGACAGAAAAAACAAGTTATTGTCATATAGAATAACACGCTGGTCGGGATACTGACAGAAAAAACAAGTTATAGTCATATAGAATAACACACTGGTCGAGATACTGACAGAAAAAACAAGTTATATAGAATAACACACTGGTCGGGATACTGACAGAAAAAACAAGTTATAGTCATATAGAATAACACGCTGGTCGGGATACTGACAGAAAAAAACAAGTTATTGTCATATAGAATAACACACTGGTCGGGATACTGACAGAAAAAACAAGTTATAGTCATATAGAATAACACACTGGTCGGGATACTGACAGAAAAAAACAAGTTATTGTCATATAGAATAACACACTGGTCGGGATACTGACAGAAAAACAAGTTATTGTCATATAGAATAACACACTGGTCGGGATACTGACAGAAAAAACAAGTTATTGTCATATAGAATAACACACTGGTCGGGATACTGACAGAAAAACAAGTTATTGTCATATAGAATAACAATAAGAAAACTGTTTTCAAATATTTCTTTATTTTGCAAATGAGCTAAATGATCTTGAATTCATCAGAAAAAAACATCAGCAAGGAGACAAAGGGACAAGTTGAGATGACAGCAAGGAGACAAAGGGACAAGTTGAGGTGACAGCAAGGAGACAAAGGGACAAGTTGAGGTGACAGCAAGGAGACAAAGGGACAAGTTGAGGTGACAGCAAGGAGACAAAGGGACAAGTTGAGGTGACAGCAAGGAGACAAAGGGACAAGTTGAGGTGACAGCAAGGAGACAAAGGGACAAGTTGAGGTGACAAACTTCAACACAAATCGGAAAACAATTTGATAAACCGACCTTTCATTTTTTTTTTTTTTTCGTTCTAATATGAATGATCATGCACAAATTGTATAATAATAATGAAAACCAAAATCTCTATCTTTAAATGTCTCAGTTAAAGTTCATTAAGCATATTCTTGAACGTTTTAAAAAAAATCAAAGCAAGTTCAAATAATTACATTTTTCAAAAACATCCACTTCCTCTGTCCATGTTACCAGTCGTTTCTTTTTCTCCTACTTTATCTCTACCTCCTAAGTCTCCTCTGTTCTTGTTTCTGTTGTACTGATGCCAGACACCTGTACCCTCACTACACGGAGTAAGGCCCTACGCTGGCCAGACGCGTTTGTACCCAGGGTACTCAGATCACCTTCTAATGCCTGTACCTGACACATTGTGTATCGATCAGTCATTATGGCAACTTTGTACCGAGTTCTCCTGTACAAGTTCCTGGTTTCCGTGTGCTACTTTGAACCTGGTTCTGTTGTACCGGTACCTTGCCCGATTGTACCGAGGATACCTGTTTCTCGTGTGCCGGTCACTGGCTACTTCGAACCTGGTTCTGTTGTACCGGTACCTTGCCCGTTTGTACCGAGGGTACCTGTTTCTCGTGTGCCGGTCACTGGCTACCTTGAACCTGGTTCTGTTGTACCGGTACCTTGCCCGTTTGTACCGAGGATACCTGTTTCTCGTGTGCCGGTCACTGGCTACCTTGAACCTGGTTCTGTTGTACCGGTACCTTGCCCGTTTGTACCGAGGGTACCTGTTTCTCGTGTGCCGGTCACTGGATACTTTGAACCTGGTTCTGTTGTACCGGTACCTTGCACGTTTGTACCGCGCGTACTTGGTTCTGGTGTGCCCGCGCCACGTTACCCTGTGCCTGATTTCACCGCACCATGGAAGAAAAGGTTGGATCGGCGCAGAGTGTTGCATAGAAGGCGCATACCTATTGTGTTTATAGGACGTTCCATTTTCCAGTCTTCCAGTAAGTTGTGAGGACCCTGTGAGCTGTCCTGCGGATTTTGGGGTCAGAATCCCTGTTGAATCTGTCAAGTGCCTCGGCAACGTCGTATTCCAGGTGGGTGGGGGAGCCGTCACACAGCGTATGTAGCACCTGGTCAGGACAAAACGGAAATAATACTAATAAGTTATATCGATTAGTGTCGTTATTACCTTTTTACAGAATATAACTGACGTGTTTTAGGTCTACATGAATTTATAATAATGTTTGTAGATATAGCGATTTGTAAAATTAAGTTTTTTTTTTCTTTTTTTCAATTATTACTTATCAACTTTCCGAATGTCAATGATAGGTAAACACTTCATCTACGGAAGGGGGAGTGATCGAATATATATATTTATTACTTACATTGAATAAATTTAGATTTTTACCAATACCAGCCATTCATATGTTAAAATTTTAATTAGCCCTTGAAAGTTTCGGATTGTGAAAGATTGATAATGCGTAAATATTAATCAACTCATCTTGTGAATAATGATACATAGTGATGACATTTTCTGCGCATTTTAGGGTGGTTTTTTTTCAAAGATATTAAAACATTAATGAAAAAACAAATCAACCATAAATCAGTAATTAATTTTCGTTATTGGATAATAATTCATCAATTATATAAACTTCTCGTAAAAAAAAAGATCAGTTGATTAGTCAATAAACAAATGATACCTGGAATCGGACGTTAGCTGCCTCGTCACCAACCATTTCAAGTACACGCTTCCAGAAGTCTTCGTGGTCTTTTTTTACCCTGCAAGGACACATTTCCTTGAGAGCGGTCTGTCTGACTTGTGGGCTTATGTGCCTTGTCAAGTCTACGATAGTTTCAATCGTCGTAGTGCTTCTACACAGACGGATAGCTTCCTTTTCTGGTAAGTCAGACATGGTGTGTTTGTTTACGAGTTGAGACGAAATCTTAACTGAAGCAGAAGCTGTTTTGTCTTATCTCAGTGATCTGACAGTGTATACTCTCACTTCCCCGATAACTCTGAATAGTTCCTAAAGCGTGGCTGTTTATATACACCATAACAAAGCTGTGGTGAAATTCTCGATATTGCACAACCATCGATAACATGTTGTTACCCGGAAGTTGAGAAATAGTTTTGTGTGTTCAAGGGGCAGTAACTCTAATATAGAACACGGTCTTACCAGTCGGTGTGTTTGTGTTCGCCAGGCGGTGTCTCATCAACGAACGTCAGAGTTATGGCTAAGTAACCTGCCAGTATCACGATCAGTTTATTGATGTGACTGTGGATCAACTATAACTGACAAAATGGATACCGCCGTCATATCAACACACAAAATACAGTGTGTCTCTCGTCCATTACCTCGCCGATTTTTATGTCAAAATGCGTCGATTTTGTCTTTTCAATTTGGTGTTCATTTTTTTCTCTCTCTTTTGTTATTATTTCGTTATATTTACTGTTGCTTCGCCCTTTTGTTTTCCAAAAACAATTCAATTGATTATACTTGCCATGTCCACTCGGAACTACGTTTCTAATCGTGTGTGAAATATTTACTTTGTATACAATTTGATTTAAACTAATGAATGACAACTTGAGTGTTGTAATCTTTGACACGACATGTAAGTCGGATTGGACAGCCAAGTCTTGCCACTGGTGATTTGCCTATTAAACTCGCAACAGACCATCTACTTGCACGTTCCTATGGTATGACGTCACTTAACCAATCGACTGTTCCTTCCAGTTATGCAGTTTTAAGTAATACACCTTTACATATACATTCTACTCTTGTTTGATCTAAAACGTCCTCTTCCTTTCCCCAATATCTCTGTAATTATATATTTTTAACTGTAATATATCGCCAATGTTGACAATGAATAATTCCATAAAACAGACATTTAACATAGTGCATTGTATTAACAAAACATATTTTTTGTATCGTGAAACCGATTGACTACAACTTTCTAAAAGACGAAAACATCGGAAACTATTGTTTCATATGTAGCGGGTGTATTTTGTATCATACCCTATTACACATAGTATAGGAAACAATTTTGCGACTAATTTTCTCTCAGATTTATTGCCAGCGGATATCGGAAATCTAGCTCCATACAATTTACGAAACGCACACTTACCGAGACAACATTTCAGTCTTAAACTGTTGCCAAATTCATTCTTTCCTGCTACAACAAAACTTTGGAATTGTTTGGTTAACAACATTAGATAATCTTCTAGGAAATCTTTTAAGGCTAATGTAAAAAAAATCAATATCCACTAATTGTCATCTAAGCAAACTATTAACAAACTATGAAGCTAGAAAACTAAATATTCTTTATAGTCGTCCGAGAAACCGAGTGAGCAGTCTTAATTATGATCTTCTCAGAGAAAAAAAAGTCTGCCGAGTGTCAATGTGGACATTCCTGAAAAGATTCTTTATCATTTCTTTTTTACTTGTTCTTTATATGATAACTTCATCTCACTAAATGACAATAAAATATTGTGAAAACTGCACAGCATTTCCTGGGAAGGTCGGGTAGGTTCGAGATCTCTCTCTAATAAATTTCTAATCGATAGTAACTGAAGCTATATGAAGTACTAAACATGATAAATTGATAGTCTTATCTCTTCATATTTCACACTCTGTTTAATCATGTGACAATTGTTATTTCATAATTGTATATCTGTATGTAGGGAGAGGTCAGTTATAAGTTGGTAAGATCATTTTGACATTCTAATATCACAATAAAATATGTTTAAACAAAAATTCTCGCTGTCACACATTTTATCATTTTTTTTCAATTTTTTTATATTTTTATTTTGTTTACAATTTGATACACAGAACATCTCTCGTACCATACAATTAGCTACTGAAAACTAACCACAATGAATCTTGAATTAAATATAACGTGAATGGAATATTTTCTAAAAATATTTCCCAAATGACTGCGTTTCGTAAGAACCTAAATCATATAGATTACCAGCTCAAGAAAGTGTTTAAATAAGTTTATTTTATCAGTTAAATTCATGATTCATCTCTCAACAGTAATAATTCTGGTAATATTTATGTATATTACATAAATGATTTCAATAGAAAAGAAGATTGTGTGATAAGGTTCTATATTTATCATTTCTATGCAACTCTCCCTCCCCCCCTACACCCCTACACACACACACACACACACACACACACACACACACTTTTTTTCCTTCAACAATATGGTGTTTATGCTTATTGAAACCACACCAACAGTAAACCTGCCGAGGTATTTTAGTCGACAGGTGGTCAGAATATTGTAGAACAGTGTGTGAATAAGCCTTTTGCAGTCGTAATACCCTCATGTCAGAATTTTACTCCAAACCTAGACAATGAAAACACATATTCGAAATGAATTTGACATACACACACTGATGAAATACGTCCGGACCCAAGGGAATGTATTTCGTTTAGTCGCAGTTTCTAGTCTGTCCATGTTAAATCAGTTATTTCCATTGTTCACAACTCCATCGTAAACACCATACAAATACGTACACATATCGTGCCTTGTACCCTACTCGATGTCTCGCATAACACAAAACAATGAATACTCCCTCGATTTGAACTTCCGTTGACCTACTAAACTCTCGTTTGGTCGATAACCGATGATCAAATATCATCAACTATGAAATGCTAATCTTTTAAAATCACAATTATTTATATTCATCGGTTTAAGATTAATCGGAACATACGGAACAGTTATGTAAAACAAGATAGATATAACTAACATAATATTGTGTCTTAGTCGGCAAAGTGTTTTGATTTGCATTATCGATTCATTGCGCATGACCGACAAGTTCGAGGGTATGATGGTCTATCGACGCGCGCATTCTCTGAGAGGAAGAGACGCCATTTTTAGCATTTCGTACCACGATATTGACGTTAAGCTTAATAAAAACATCCAATGTTTCACTCCTACGTACAGCTATGGACTCCGTCATTTAGGTAAGTATTTTTGCGATCAGAACTTTGCACAAACAGATGATTCGACACCATTGCATGTCTATTTATAGCAACCATACATGTTATGTTCTATAGAGGAAGTGGAAGAAGTCACCTTATTCACTTCATGCCATTAAGACATCAGAAAGTTGTAATGTTAATCAAATTTGAAAATTTTGAAATATTAATTTGAAATTTGAGGGAAAGCTGAATGTCATATGATGATGGAAACAAATCATCAAATAAAAGGAAATACCTATGGTCGATTATTTAATGTGACTTAAGACATCTGACAGTTATACTGCTTATCTATTTTGAAATTTATTAAAAGCGAAATATCTTAAGTATGTGAAAATGAATCAACAAGTAAATGGAAATAACTGAGGTATAGAGTGTAGCTGAAAACATATTTAGTCAATTATTCCGCTATGAAGATTCAAATTTATAAAAGACTAGGGTATGCCCGCTGAAGCGTTTATAAAAAAAACTAGTATGTACGTCTCTGACGCACGAATTTAGACTTTTAATTAAAAGGTGACAGAATTTTTATTTCTAACAGATCTAGATTGCGGTATACAGGTCTGTGGTGAAATATACTTTCTTGATTGTTATTATCCCGACTGAAATTGAAAAAAACGTGTCCTTTTCAGGAAAATTTCATTATCATTTCTCCAAGCAGATACAATTAACTAATACTACTAATAGAACTGATATAAGTAAACAGCTGCATTTGAAGTATGTACTATTCAGAGGACAATACTATTATACAACATATAGTTTTAATACTATGCATCCGGTTATTGAAATTACTGTTATGATTGATCAGCCAAAATTCTAAAAATAAGGAAAAGATGACAAATGATTTTTGCTTTTAACACGCTTGTTAAATCTATTCATCTGCCCGTCCGTCAAATTCTTTCTCTAAAATTTCCTCTCTCAGTTTTCCATCGAATCCGATCTCTTTGAAACTGGGTAAACTCCATCGTTAGGTTACCTGAAACAAAATGTAAGCTGGGGTAATCTATTCTGACCATGCCCCGGCCGTCAACGTGCTTTAGCAACTAAGAATTAAGATTTTTTCCCGTTTTGAAATGGTTGAATGGATTTTGATCACAGTTAGCAACGATCAGCTGTACCAAGTCAGGATCAGGATCTACATTTGTAAACTGGACAAATGAACAAACGGCTCTATACAAATTGTGTAGGCTTTGCTTGAGAATGTTTTGATTCTATGTGTACAGTTAGAGGATTACTGCCGTTTGTTGTTTTCGCCATTTTAAATCTGTCCGATACCACTCTCTTAGTTTCGATCGATCGTCACTAAACTAGTGATGCGATATCATTACGACATGAACCTGTGTTTCGAATTCTTCAAGTAAAGAAAAGTTAACGAGAATTTTGTTATTTTCAGCTTTTTCGGTTTGTCAGGAGATCTCTTGTAATTTCAAGATAACAAGGAGAGATGCCGCCAGGACGGCATTTTGAATGGACAATCAATAGGTTTTACTGGTTTTTCTGCTGTTTGATTTTTTATAAGTTTACTCGTAACTTATAGAAATACTGTAGAAACCAGGCAAGGCGAATTAAATGCTCTCAATACCGCCTGTCCCTACTTGTATAAATTATAAATAAAGCCGGTTTATGAATATAGCTCCTAAAGTGGTGATATAGAAGTGTGAGCAATAGACGGACTTACGGACGGGCGGACCGGCAGGACAGAAACATCATCTCTTCACTTAGCAGTAGGAATTTTCACACAAATTTTGCTTTTTGTTTGCTGAATGAACAGCAAGATAAAGTATTCTATTTTTAGCAACATTAGCCTAGACTTTGTTTGTTGACAATTATCATTGAAAACGTTCAAACCTTGAAGGTACCTTAAAGTTTGTAAAATATGAACATGTCTCTTAATAAGATATCGAGAAAATGCGACAGAGATTGCTATTTTAAGCTATTGACTTAGACGACCTTGGCGGATGACATTCATATCAAGAACGAATTCCTGTTATGAGACAGTAGAGTTACCTGGATTTTTTTTGTATTAAGAGAACATAACCTATTGAAATCGTGTTTCTGATCACTGGCATAAATGGCATGTCATCATACGAATGCTTCAATAGGTACTAGAAAAACGATTTTAGAATTGATAGATAAAATTATGATACTTCATCTCTATATTTTATTCTGAACTATGTTTGCAGGTGATATAATCATTTATCTTAGTGTTTACACCGTCTTGTAGAAATTTGATATTTTAATATACTAGTACTGAATTACATGTGGAACGATTGCGTGTGCTTTGCAAAAAGTACATCGTTAGGATTGCATCCCATTATCGATACCTAATTCTTGTATCGACAATACACGAAATAGTATTTTTTCATTTGATGACTTTAACAGCTGTATACGTGTCTCGTTAAAAGAATTCATACTAATACAGCCTCGAAATAACGTTATCTGGAGAGTAAATACGCAAGAAATGCATGAAGTTAGTTATAAGTATGCACACATTAAATATATGTGTGTATGTGGTTCATTTGAAGACAGGATCACGATTACATGTCCTTTTTTTCCCTCACTTGTCCGATACCATGGTCCGTCCGTCGTCAATTTTCCCATTAAACGACTTCTTATCAACTCAAATAATCAAAAGGCTCAGGATACTGACATGTAGACTGAAGCATGCAGGGAGGAAGGGATACCAAGTTTGTTCAAACGACCCACTTTCAACGTCACAAAAGCCGAATTGGATGAAAATTTAAACATCTTCTCAAAAACCAAGAGGTCTTGTGTACCGATATAGGGCATGTAGCCTTCTGGAATGAATGGATACCGCGTTTGTTCAAATCAATGCCCTTGGTCTATTTTCCAAGGTCGCAGGAGTCGCATGAATTAAAATCTTAAACGACATTTTTTTAGTAACGAAGAGACACAGGGAGCCGATTACACTTGGAGCAAACTGGGATTAAGGGCTACGAAGTTTGTTCAAATTAATTACCTTGACCCACTTTCAATGTCATATGGGTCAGTAGATACACGTTTGGAAATTAAGCTGAATGAAAAACAAAAACACAAAAAAAACGACATTTTCTAATTTTGTTTTATTTCTTTCTTTCAGAACAAACTTATGGTGCTTGGTAGATTGATCGGAACAAATGGCGGTCGTGAAAAAACCAGTGGTGTAAGTACGATGTAGGTCGACACCAGAGAAAGGAGGAGGAGGGGGGGTTGTAATAACGACGTGAACATCACAAGCCATCAAGTTATAGGATTTCTTCGCTTGATATAAATTGTACACCTAAGTTAATGGATGGACAAAATACACATATGTGTTTATTAAAGGACAATTGAGTCGACTAATTCATAATTGGTTAGTTTGATGATTATATAAACCGAAGTTAATGCCCACTGTGATGAGGTTTATTTCTTGGAAATGTCTTCGGTACGCGGAAATAGCAACGCCAAAGCGCAAATATCCTCCGACTCCTACACAGACGTTAGACATGTTAATAGCCAGACGTCTGGTGTTCCATAGTGTAAAGACAACTGTCTTAAAGTGTCTTACGTCCGGTGGATGTATTTAGGAAACACGAGCTAGCAACACCGGGCCTAAATTGGTGAAGGAATCCCTACGAAATTGTAGAACGGTCAAGTCTTCATGACAATACATACTTAGGAAAGCATAAACAAACCACAGATTAGGATATTAGTGAATGATGAAAAAAAACACGATGGATTAAATGTATCCCAGTATGAATCCAAGATTCCGACATCCCTTGTGATGTAATAGATTTATTTTTGCAGTTGCTAAATACTTATCATAAAATCTACCGATATCTTATAGGCTTTATCATAGCTGCCCCCCTACACGCCACCTCTGTGAACAAATCACAAGCTTAAACTTGTGATAATTAGTAAATGCGTATTTATATTGTATCAGGATTGCGACACTTTACGAAGCACTCATTGAGCTACAGATGAAATATATAATAATAGTAGTGGTATGCAAATGATCAAAGATAATAAAAAATATTCATAAAAAATTAATAAAACTGGTCATTATTTTGCTATCATACATTTTCATTTATGGCAGCATTACATAATCGCCATATGAAAGATCTGTCAACTAGTAATAATTATTATAACGTATTTATTTTCACAACTTCAATATCTAAGATGTCGTCCATTTACACCAAAAAAGTCTACCCCATATGAATGGATAGTTTTTATAACAACCACAATACAAATGCAAACAGGTCTTTTGACAAAAAGACGTTTCAAGTCCGAATAAGTCAATTTATAATTTTATGTATAATGTATACATGAGACGAAAATTGTGGTGTTGACAAATAACGTAGCGGTATGAACCGTTCACAGAGGTGTTACGGAGGAAACGAACCGGTTGGTTTTAATAGTGTACATGTATATTTAAAGTATTTATTTTTTGTCTTTTCAGTGGTACAGGGAAATTGCTGATTGACAAAAATGGGAAACTCCTCGTCCAAGGCGATGACAAAGTCGCATTGTCTAATCCAAATGAATCACATAAACTGATATCGCAGAAAAAAGCAGATGGCACATCAAACCTTTTTATGATTCCGTCTGAGGGAGTGAATAAGGGAAAATATTTTTTGGTGGTTCCTGAAAAAGAAATGGAAAAACTAAACATGACTACTAGTGACGTATTGTCCAGTAATGCTTCACACCCTCCAGCTAATCCCAATTCTTCGGCTACGCCTGGACAGGCGTCACATGCTCTATCGGCAGTCCTCAAGAACATCGCAGATCATATATCGTCAGAGTCGAAAGCATGTGATGACGCTACACAATCAAACGATTCAGGAATACGTAATCCATCAGTTACACGTCCTTTAGAAGATACTGGAACCAACCTACAAACATCCACAGCTAGTTCGTTTATTCCGTCTGGTGCAAGTATGGAACAGGAATATCAAACAAGCCAAGGACCTGACGCAAGGACCAGCACAGTTTCATCAATTGTACCAGTCCTAAATGTGACACAGGCCTCTGGTGGTATTACGGGAAGTCAATTAACGCTCGGCCCTTCCCTAAAAAGTATTCCTTTTTCGTCCGTAACTACTGTGCCCAGTTTGCCTAGTTCCAAACCGGTAATAATTCTGACCTCTGCCACTATTCCAGCGGTTCCGCAGGAAACGTGTAGTAACCAGACTCTGTTAGCAACATCGGACTCTCCTTCTCCACTAACTCGGCCACCGATAATGGCAACATGTCAGCAATCGCCAAACGTGGTATTTGACTCAACACCATCACAATCGCCATCATTAACCACCACACTGACCTCAAATCAAACGACGACTACAACAACATCCAGCATTCCACTCTTTCCAAAGATAGGAGTTTCAACTCCATCACAACAAGTTCCGTTAATTCCAGTATTAATAAATACAAACCAAATTATTACCTCAGCGTCCAGTTTTCTCCAGTCTCCAATGACTACTGTTCCAGCGTCATCACATAATGTTTCGTCGATTCTAAACACGCAGACGTCGAACTCCTTATGTACGCTTAAGCAAGTTCCAGTCGTCGTGTCCTCACAGGAAGTGTCACTAGTCCCTGTGAAGATCGCCCCTAAACAATCGAATGTTACCACTGTATCCAATTTTCAACAACCACCAGTACCCGCAGTCACACAGAGTCCTATCTTTGTAACCCCACAGCAAGCGCTGACTCTCTTAGGCAAAACGCCTGTACTGAGTGATAAGGCTTTACCGGACACTGTAGCCTCTTTAATCAAAACCATGCAAAAGACTCCAGTACCATATACTGTGAGTAACGCTACTAGACCTCAACAAAGCCCCATTACCTCAGCAGCTTGCCAAAGTACAAGAGTTTCCACAGTTAGCCACAATTCGGGCCCAACTACTGCAGCGACGTCGAAGTCATTAGAGTCGACCCCGATGATTAGTTATGTAACCACCTCTGGAAGTGATCGGTATGTCTATGTACCTGTTCCTGGGACACTTGATGGAAATCGTGTTTTAATTTCGAACAAAGCACAAAAACATTCCAGCGACGTAACATTAACCTGTAGCTCAAGTGCTGTATATACAACAACAAAGTTACAAAGTGAAGTAACCAGTGCTAATAGTGTAATGAATGTAGTGCGGCCTCAAATGTCAACTCAAAACATTGGAACATCTTTAAGTAACGCAACACCGATGATGCTTTTTAGTCACAATGCAGCACAAAATCTCAAGCCAACGAATTTAGCAAATCCCCTTAAACAACAAGACAGTAACGAAATTCAAACATCAGATGTCGGAACCTCCAAAATGCAAAGCCTGAGTGCCGTGTCACATAGTACAATCAGTAGCGCATCGCAGTCTCTTCGTCAACAAGGTCTCCCTCCAGCATTAAATGTGAAAAAAATCTATAAGTTGTCGGCTAGTGAACATTCAACAACTAACACTCCAAAGACAATTACAGTTTTGAAGATACCTATTTCTAAAGAACATTCATCACTACAACGTTACAGATTAGGGAGTGCGATTGCTTCTTCACCAGCCACATCAATATCTGTATCCATGTCTTGCAACGTGGCTCCGTGTGTACGACCAACAAAGACTGACCAAGATGTCGGTACCACTGCGTCAAATCTGAACGTTCAAAATGCAGCACCTCGAATTATTTCAACCCAGACTGCTAGCTCAACTAAAACATCATGTACTTTATCGTATTCCAGTGCAGTTAACGTGCATTCATATTCTAAACTTATCTTTACGCCAGTGAGAAATTCTGGACAGACGACATTACCTGTTAACGATCGTGTTACTGGTGTTAATGGAAGGAGGATTTTACAAAAGCCCAAAATCATTATATCCGAGAATCCGATAGCAAGACCAAAACAAGGCAGTACCATAATGGGGAATCTTGTGTCCATTGTCCCATCAAATGGTACAAAAATGGCAGTCAGACCATCTTTAGTGAAGACATATCCCCATAATTTTAGTAGTATCGTAAATGCCATCAAAAGCGACAAGAATGAAAAGAATGTTTCCAATCCGGTCTTTCATTTGTCACGTGACAACGGAAATAATGCTGGCTCTACGCAATTACACAGCACCTCTTGCTCTACTCAGATGATGACCAACCATTCAAATACATTGTCATATTCACATGAGAAAAAAGATGTCAGCGATATGCAAATCGTCATAGATTCAGTATTCTCATTATCAAGTGAGGACCAGAATGAAAATTGTGAAAAGGCGGACAATGCAAATGAAAGTTGCTCAAAAACTAGCAAAAATCCGTCTGAAAATCTGGAATTGAACCAGCGATTTGAGTCTAAAAGCACAACAGACTCTGGACAATCTATGGGTCAGATATTGAGGGAATTCGACCATCTGTCAAATTTCAATGGAGTAGTTCTTCCGGATGAAGCGATAACAGAATCAAAGATATTTTCTCCTTGTTATGTAGTCTTGGACACTCTCCACATGCATGGAGGGACAATGGAGGGTATCAATACGCGGTGCTCTAGAGCCTGTCGGCAAAATTTTCTTTCCAAGAAATCAGAAGTACGCGTGGCCATACACAAGAAGGAGTCCGTCTCCATGCAAGCAAGGTCAGAACGAAAGGCTGCAGTTGTAGACAATCCATTACTTAACAAAGAAGGAAATGCGAACGTAAGAAGCAATGTTCCATTACCTGATGCTGGGAAAATAAGAATGCAACGGTCACGTGATATTTTACGCGCTGAATTAGACGCAGCTGCACACGTCGCAGTTAGCAAAACAAACAGGATTAAAAAAGACGAAAGTAAACAAACGCCATCCACTACTGTGTCATCACGAGAGAAAGATGACATGTCAGATACAAAGCAGTCATCTTCATGTTCAGCTCTGCATATAGTTAAAAAGTTGACAAATTCAGACCAATTTTATTTGATACGAGTTGATGGTAAAACTGTGGTGATTCCTCACGTTAATACAGGAAACAAACCGAAGGCTTTTATCATAAATGATGACAAATTCAATTTGGGTTCCTTTACTGCCGATCAAACGTCTTCTCCGAACGCTACTGTAGCGTCAAACGAGAGAGTTCTTCCCAGTGTATCTACCAAGTCACCTTGTATAGTGTCATCTAATGTCAATACAAAGGACGTTCCGGGTGCTGTCAAGCCAGTTAAGACTCCAACCACAACGTCTACACATGTCAACATCAAACCCGAGCCCGTTACATATGGCTACGGCGATGAGACAAATACACAGCCACCTTTGATTGTTAAACAGGAACGTATGGATAGGGGGTACTCAGACGAACCGCCTAAACAAGAACGTATGAATAGGGGGTACTCCGACGAACCGCCTAAACTGGAACGAATGGACACTGAACCACCAAAACGGACATCGCGAGAATTAAAGTCAAAAAGGGACAGTGCAGCTCCTGATCTCATTGCAGAGGATGGTGTCGCTCCAGCAAAGATTCAAAAAGTTATGTCAAAAGAAGAGAGGATTAACTCATTGAAGGAACTCTTGAAAAAGCAAGAAAAAGACTTAGAGGAGATGAGACAGCGACGTTTTGCTGAAACAACACCAGCGGATCGTGATTTATAAAATTGCCAAATTGTCCGTGAATGTAAGGTTCGTGTAGGCTTATGTGAGATGTATAAAAAAAACAATCACAATGCTACCGCTGATATGTAACATATAACTACAATGTTACCACGGATATGTAACTACAATGTTACCGCTGATATGTAACATATAACTACAATGTTACCATGGATATGTTACATAACTACAATGTTACCGCTGATATGTAACATATAACTACAATGTTACCACTGATATGTAACATATAACTACAATGTTACCACTGATATGTAACTACAATGTTACCACTGATATGTGACATATAACTACAATGTTACTACTGATATGTAACATATAACTACAATGTTACTACTGATATGTGATACCTACAATGTTACCATGGATATGTTACATAACTACAATGTTACCACGGATATGTAACATATACATGTAACTACAATGTTACCACGGATATGTAACATATAACTACAATGTTACCACGGATATGTAACATATAACTACAATGTTACTACTGATATGTGACATATAACTACAATGTTACCACGGATATGTGACATAACTACAATGTTACCACTGATATGTAAAATATAACTACAATGTTACCACTGATATGTAACATATAAGTACAATGTTACCACTGATATGTAAAATATAACTACAATGTTACCACTGATATGTGACATATAACTACAATGTTACCACTGATATGTGACATATACCTACAATGTTACCACTGATATGTAAAATATAACTACAATGTTACCACTGATATGTAACATATAACTACAATGTTACCACTGATATGTAACATATAACTACAATGCTACCACTGATATGTAATCACAATGTTACCACAGATATGTAACATATAACTACAATGTTACCGATTGATCATATGTACGTATCGGACAGTGGGAATGTTTTCCTCCTTACGATATGTCCATACCACTGTTTTGTCTTTAACCTGATATGATGCGGAAATTCTTGCAATGGATGAAAATACCACTCATAGTAATACATATTCGTTTGACATAATTTTATTCAACTGTACAGATTAGATTTTCTAAATATTTGATGTGCATTTAGCATATTTCGGTTACCGTTCACATGCATAAATTCCCTGTACGTTAGATAACATTCATTCGTTTTTAAGAAGGTTTGTTTTTCTTCATTATATTTCAACCAGAATAGATCGATAATATTCATTTTATGAATATGTACGTCCTTACGTGTCCATTATGTGTAACTGTACGACGGTTCGGTCGGACATGTTCATTTTGTGCGTCCGTCCGTCTGGCCTTAAGTAAGATCACGTTAACATGTATAGACTTAGATGTACCTACCTTATACCTGTTTTTATCGATATCTACAGCGCTCTGTGAAAGTATTTATTAGATTCTAGATTTTGTTTAGCTCCACTTTCATCCAAGCAGATATTAGAAGCATAAGAAGATTTTACAAATGTGTTCTTGTTTTTTGTTAATCTTGCTGCAGCTGTAATATTATTTTAATTTTTTATCTTGAGGGAAGTAAAATTTGTTTCAATAATATATATCGTATTGTGTCGTTTTATTGATGAACATTTACATCGGTTTACATATCTCTATATTACAAAAATATACATGTAATCTCAAAACTGTGCCGAAAAAAGTTCGTCGCAAGTAAAATAATGTACTTCTAGATGGTAGGTGTAAAATTTTATTTTGATTAGTTATGATACACAAAAATATAGTTTGTTGTCGAAAGAAGTATTTATATGTCATTAAATAATTGATATTGCTCCGTTAAAACTGGTGGATTTGTTCAAATTATGTACGGTCCGACCACTAGATGGCTGGTATAGGGCATTCCCAAGAGTGATTGAAATATGGCATCATCAGAGACACTATAAACAAGCCGTATAAACCTGGTAGTCAATGGCCGATTGGTATTAATCCATTGTCAGGTTCTATACAGTGGCTTGTTGAATTTAGCTCGAACCATGTGTGCTGTATCCTGAAGAATAGTATAAGTCAATCCCTAGCTTTACAGAAATGTTATTCCCAGTAAATTTCGATGGTTTCCTACGGTGATAACAAAGACTTTGAAACGTTCTTGGTTGTTCTCAATCATACGAATAATGTTTTGTCGCTCATCAATGAGAAGTCTCAGAAAAATCTCACACCACCAAACAACAAGTTGAACTAAAAACATGTCGAAGTAAACTGATGAAAGTCTTCAAGTATTTATCTTACTTTTTTGTTCAATTAACATTGGGTTGTGGTAATATATAGAGTTTATTAAAGAATGTGTTTGTACGGAAACATTACCTGCATAATAAATGGGAACATTCTGTTTCTGTTGGAAAAAGATATTATAATGAATACGTTACACTACAAAGTTCAATGTCTCACATGTCATGATTGTGTTCCTCGAATCACCAGAAATGTGTCGCCAAACATACATTATATACATTTCCTTGTGTATATCCATAGATCCGATAAAGGATGTATTACCAGTGTTTGTTAACCGTTGGTATCTACTTTTTTCTGAAATGCCGTGGGGTCATTGACAATTACTGGAAACGTTTAATGTATTTTGTGCGTATTGAAATTTATCAATATATTTTAATATCACTTCCATGCGTTTTTTTTTTTAAAACAAACAGTGACAATTAACGTATAAATCCAGTATGAAAATTCATGTCAACAAATTGTCTCAGAAATTTAGTCATTATTGGCAAAGATGAAAAAAAAGTTATCATTTCCTTATGAAGAACTCTACTGTCGATCCCATTTACGTCGAACTAATAGATATAATTACGTTTTCTTCGTGCTTGTCATTAACATCCGGTAAAGAAAAGAGACATACATTTTACAACCAACAAAATGCTTATTCAGTAAAAGAAATATGTACAGATACGTCTATATCTGTGCACGTACAGAAAGGATTCAAATTTTGAAAGGGGCCTACATACTAAATACGAACAGATTTATGCCCCTTCGGAAGCAGGTGCGTTCGCTTTGTTGTTGTGGCAACTATACGCTGCGCATGCCCACACGTAGGAAGAAAAAATATGGCGGGCCTTATTGTCAAAGAGGATTAGAACCGAACAGTAGAGGTAACGGATATAACTACACAGGCAAGTATGCATCAATGTACAGATCACTGAAATGTTTAGATATACGAAAAATAACTAGATCTCCGTTCTACATGTAAAAGGCCATGTGATCGGAGTGTTAATGCGAAACATGTTACTGAGGCGACAAGTGATGTCAAGTTTATCTTGCAGACTATTCAGGAGTTTTCACAACATCCGGTTGACGGACTACTGAATAAATGGAGAATCTGTATATTGTGCTCTTTATTTACATTGACATGCAATTATGGTACATCGTTTTTGCCTTTAACGTGAATGAAACTATCAGTAATTTTAATCAGAATCATATGGGGCCTAAATTACGATATGCTTTACCAAGTAGCTGCAGGGGAGCAATCATTATTTCAGACATGTACCATATATAACTCTAACAAACATTTATCATAAATTAATAATTAGTTATAAATATGCTGATAAATTCAAAATGAATATTAAGTATATGCTCATAAACCTCATGTTTATACACACATGTGCTGATATATGTATGTTGTTATATAATGGTCAAGAGGTTACCATAAATGTGATCAAAATTAGCAGAGTTTGCCAGTTGTTATATCAGAACATGGAGACATAAATCAATAGTACCATGTCCAGTTTAATGGTAAAAACAGCTTGTGAACTTGCGAAAGAATGTATTTTGTTGTTTTTCACATTTCAGTGTGATGATTAATAATTATATACTTTCAAAGAAAACTAGGATACTTTTGAAATGAAACCAATGAGTTACCTTTTATAATGTAGTTGTACTATATGAAAATAAATACCGTAAAAGTGTTTTGAAGAATATGTATTTACCTATTCGGTTTGAATATTTGGGATATATCTCATTATATTCTGATATACATAATTTATAAGAGAGCCTGCTTACAGTTTGTGTGAAAAATATACAAGTTAATAACAGCGTGTATTCTGCTTTGATATAGAGAAGGTCTATGCAAATCATTAACATAAAATGTTCTCTACATTACTTTTACAGACACCAATAGAATTGAAACAAAAACACGTTCAGGGAGATCATATCTATTCATGTGAATGGTTTGTCATTATATATATATATATATTTCAGTATTGTTTCATTTTATCATTTTAAAAAAGCTTTATAGTGCTAGACAGAATTTGATAAAGATGTATTTACTCCACTGTTTTAGGCGAAGATGGCAGATGAGGTTGAGTTAAACACTAAGTCAAGGAAGGTGACGACTTCCACTCGTCATCTGACCAAAAATGACAAAAAAATTCTTGGTCAGAATACAGATAGAAAGAAGGAAGTAGTGGCCTCTCAAGAAAAGTATAGCACCAACAAAATGAGGACATACAATAGTGCCTGGACACCAGTGGTTCACAAGCCTTCTAATGAAACGGTGAAATACTACTAATGAAGTACAGAATAATAATATACTTATATACATTCTAATCTCTGTGTGCATAACATTTATAGATGCAAAAGTAAGATCAACTGAACTGTGTTCCAAACAATAAGGAAGGTGATTTAAACAATGTGTACCCAATAGATGTCAGGAGTAGGCACAACACGAAGCAGTTCCAGTCCAATCTGTATTGTTGTTCTGATGACGGATCACTTGGATCCGAAACGTGTTAACAACTCTCAGCACGAATAAATCGTGGATTGGACCGGAACTGCTTTATGTTGTGCCTATTCCTGACATCTATTCTACTTATTTATAGCGGGTACTCTGTATCCTTTTGGATCCACGGCTGTTCCCTGAAGGAATTTCCTGATTTCACTGTTTGCGGGACGTTGTGTCTCCACACCCCTGTTGTTAATGTGTACCTAATTCAGATGTCAGTATTCATGCATACAAGCACCTTATATAATTCTTTGTGTATATAGTTATGGAACTGTGTGAGGTAATAGATTGTTTTCATTTTTCTTCAGATATTTCATGAAAGACGGGATCTAGTTTCTCACTGGGTAAGGATAGAACTTTCATTGTTTCAAGATTTAAACTGCATATGTACCACTAAGGCTTATGAGTATTTTTTTCGAAATCTCTCAAACAACTTATGATCAATCGAACAGCATAGATCAAAGAAACATGGCTGAAAGATACAAGGGATAAAGTCTGACTAATTTTGAAAAGAAAAAAATACCTTGACAAATATTCAAGGTCACAGAGGATAAGGTTGTTAAGCATTCAAACAATGTTTTATTAATATATAAGGCCTATTAAGAATCATGATATTTGATAACTAGGATGGGGTCTGCAAGAAATGCAAAAAGAAGAGGACTTTGGCCCATATTGAAGGTCACTGGAGTCAAATTTGTATAGATACTGAACAAGTTATTTTGATCAGCCTAAATACTTCAGAAATGTAATTATATAAGCATTACAGGCCATTTTTGAAACAAGGGCTCACGTTTGAAGACCTTAGAAATAGTTCAATGATAATATTCATCAGCTGAGTATGATTTCTTAATGTTTGACCAGCATTCCAGACGGGGCAAAAAATATTACTTATGCCTTATGCTTTTTTGATATTGTACATATTCTGTTAAACATGTAAGTATTTATAATTGTGTTACATGTATGTTTCAGTTTGACCTTTGGTCTGACTCCCAGAGGAAGCGATTTTTTGATGTGGTGTTCCAGCAGTGTCGACGTAACCAGTACAAGTTTGTACAGCAGTGGTTCCAGGACAGAGTGCCCCTCCAGCACCTTGATTTTACCACTGTACTGCCACGCTTTCTCAGTGTTTATATCTTCTCTTTCTTGGAACCTCAGAGTCTGTGTAGAGCTGGCCAGGCCTGCTGGCACTGGAAGTTTCTTACAGCACAGGTAGGGCACTTATAGCATGCTCCTGTTCTTTGAAGTACTCCTTTAGAAATTTATAAGGAAGCAGAAGTAAAAAGTCAGATTCAGATTTATCTGTTTTCTTGGGAACTCTCTCATTATTTTTCACGTTGGCAAATATTATTTCCAAAATAACAGAAAATACATTAGGGAATGTTACATAATTAGTACCCTGTTTGGACGTTGACCTCATGATCTATAACTAATTGACAGCTATGTCATAGTGACATATCCCTTAGAATATAGATAATATTATCTAGCATTACACAGAGAATAATTGGGGCATGTTACCTCATGTTGAATTACTGATTTTGACACCAAGCATAACACTGTGAAAACACCTAATACCATGTCTTTGTGATTTTGGATTGAAATTATAATTCTTGTTTTGTTATCATTAGGATTTGAATTAGGTTTGGATGAGAAATAGAATTTCTGTATATGTTTACACTATTCTATAGAGTAAAAACCTATGTGCATGTTCTGTTATGGTATTCTTTCTTTTATATCAAACTTGATTTTTTCTAGGATGAAATCTGGATGCCTAAGTGCTTAAAGTATGGTTGGATGATTCCATATAAACCCCCAAAGAATGAGTATGGTGCATGGAAAAATCATTATGTCTTATGTGCACATACCCAGGGTTATATCCCAGCTGAAGATGTGGTAAATAGCACCATATTCATCATAAAAAGATTCATACAGTATACTCAAAATTTTCATTACTTAAAGAAAAAGAATTTTTTTGTACATGAGACAGGGAATTAACACAAGCTGTCCAGTGCTAGCTTTTATGTTGAGTCCGATCTGTCTCTGGTACCTTAACAAGACATTTGCTGCCAATGATGACATATCTTTCTAATTGAATGAAATAATTTGGACATGAAATCAGGTTAGAAAATTTTAAGCAGTAGTGCCAAATATGCAAGGTAATTCTAGCTGTAGAGCCAAGATAAAAGCAATGATAGGCGATGACATGAAGGCCTGAAGCATTTACTAAATAAAATACAAAGCAGAATAGACATTATACTGTTTACTGGTCAGTTACGTCAACCATAACAAAATGCTTTATGTAGGTAAATTCAGATATGTAGAAAAATAATCAAATATATCACATTGAACTTTTTATGAATTTTTTTTTTTATTAAAGAACTCATTTGGTGGGATGGGTGTCCATTTAACTCCATCTGTTTCCAAAAAGAAGACAAAGTCAGCATCAAGATCGGGCCGCCTCTCTCCCACTGCCAGCCGTAAGTTAGCCCTTCTACTGCCTTACATCATTGGGACACTCATTTATTTGTGCTTAATGTCCAATTTTCACTCTCACAATCTGTTGTGAATTTACATGTAGATCAGGATATATTTTTTACTTTTGTAATTTTTTCCAATATTTAAATATGCAATATCTGAATATTGAAGAACACTTCATATGAAATGAAATTCATGGAGTTCGCAATCTTTCATTTTTTCTAATATATTTTGATACTAGGGCGTAACATGGATGTCCGACCTCCATGGGTTGGTGTGTCTAAGAAACCAAAAGACTTGGATAAATCCTTCCATGCCTTCTTACATGGATTCAATCCCAATGATCCAAACATTCCCAAGTCTGCCCTTATTCTCCATAACAAATGGGGCATCCCAAAGAAACGGCATGAACAGGCACTGAGCCGATCCGAGGACTTCGAGCTTGGTCTTGATTCCTACAAACGAAAAGATGGCCACAGGACTCTCACAGTATGTTGACATTTCAAACATTTAGCAACATATTTTTAAAAGCTACATGAAAAAATCTTTTTAGTCATTTCATAGGAATCTTGAAAGACTGTAATATTCAGTGTATAATTATCATTTTATGTAGAAGTTTCATTTCATTTGAAAGAAAATTTTAGCAGATATGAAAATAATCAGAGTTAAATGCAGTAAGAAATGTTGCAATGGTCTTTATAGAATGTTTATCTGTTGTAAAAGGTGTTTTGATTTTTGTGTAGCCTAACTTCTTTAAAGTTTACATGATAAAAATACTGAATAGAGAACTTACACTTAATCTCTTTGTGACATTGGTTGGGGGGGGGGGAAGTGTCATTTAAAATTTTAGAAAGAATTAAATAGGTTGTCTGATAACAATGTTTGTTTCAGGATAATAAAATGACATTGTCACATGTGACATTACTAGAGGGTGAAGTAAGTTCCTCACCTTACACAGACCCAACAGCATGATCAGTCAAATGTCTTGAATGTCTGCTAATCTGTCATAATCCAAGTTATCTCCCTTATTTCCCAATGTCTTGCTTGGCTGGGATGATCATATATATAATAGAATCAACATTGCTATTGATTTTATATTGGCCAAACACATTTTCACATTTTGAACTAGATTTGATACCTTCCTTATAAAAGATTTATAATCTGAACAAAAAGACAACTATTTTGAATGCAGATCAGTAAAAGTGTTAGGAGCACACAATGATAGTGTTTCAAGTGTTGGAAAAACACATGGCAATGTTTTAAATACACTTTGATAAGGCAGGAAGTCCACATTGGCAGCATGAAAATACACATTGATAGTGTTGATAGTGTTGGAAATGCATACTGACAGCACAGGGAGTACACGTTGATAATTTGAGGAATATCATTGATGGTGTGGGTAATACACATTAATAGTGTGGGGAATACCCATTGATAGTGTGGGGAATACACATTGATAGTGTGGGGAATACACATTGATAGTGTGGGGAATACACATTGATAATGTTGAGAATACACATTGATAGTGTTGAGAATACACATTGATAGTGTGGGGAATACACATTAATAGTGTGGGTAATACACATTAATAGTGTGGGGAATACACATTAATAGTGTGGGTAATACACATTGATAGTGTGGGGAATACACATTGATAGTGTGGGGAATACACATTGATAGTATTGAGAATACACATTGATAGCATTGAGAATACATATTGATAGTGTTGAGAATACACATTGATAGTGTTGAGAATACACATTGATAGTGTTGGGAAACACATTGATAGTGTTGAGAATACACATTGATAGTGTTGAGAATACACATTGATAGTGTTGAGAATACACATTGATAGTGTGGGGAATACACATTGATAGTGTTGAGAATATACATTGATAGTGTGGGGAATACACATTGATAGTGTTGAGAATACACATTGATAGTGTGGGGAATACACATTAATAGTGTGGGTAATACACATTAATAGTGTGGGGAATACACATTAATAGTGTGGGGAATACACATTGATAGTGTGGGGAATACACATTGATAGTGTGGGGAATACACATTGATAGTGTTGAGAATACACATTGATAGCATTGAGAATACATATTGATAGTGTTGAGAATACACATTAATAGTGTTGAGAATACACATTGATAGTGTTGAGAATACACATTGATAGTGTTGAGAATACATATTGATAGCATTGGGAAACACATTGATAATGTTGAGAATGTACCTTGAGTACATTTAGGTACACTTTGGTGAAATAGGGGAAAGAACTTGGACTGCAAGGTGTTGTATGTAGTGAATTAAATGTATTATTGTAATAGTTCATTTAAATTTGCATGATTCTGATTTAAAGTAATATTTCAATTGCACAATGAAAATTTAACAAATCTAAATTGTTCTAACATTATGATAGTATGATAATGAAATTTTGAAGCAAATATGATGTTGATGATTTTGTTGAAAGGATTATGCAACTGTGATGTACAATAACAGAAACCTGATATAAATGTTAATACTTGTCATGCCAGTAAAAACAGTAAACAGGAGGCAGCTTTGTTTGCTACTTTTACTCACATATTTAAACACAATAATTTATTAAAACATTATTAACTGAATATTTCCATCAAAGAAATTAAACAATTTGTTTTCTCCAGACGAGTCTCAAGCATGTTAAAGGACACAACTGTTTCATTACTATCAGTTTATTAGTGTGTTCTTGTTCGTATATCAAAGTCAGTTAAATAAAATTTTTGTCAGTAGTTTGTTTATTTTGCATGGCTATTTTGAGTCTCTTTTACATATATACCATTATTTTGTATGTACATCCATACTAGTAAAATACTTTTAATGATCCTCGTATTGTTGAATCTACTCTTCACCGTAACCTAAACGCTCTACCAGTCTGTGATTTTGTTTTGATATTTTTTGAGATTGTGATTAAACCATTAGAAACTTATACAGCTCCCTGATCAGTTTATGCTAAGATCAGTTTACAGTAGAAATATCAGGTTTTACATTAATTGTTTGCTTGTCAAGGCTACCAATTTTCTTTAAGTTCAGAAATATTTGATAAAGTATATATGTGATGTAAACCTGGAATTTTTTTTAAAAAGAATAAGTTTTTATCACAGGGTATTGCTTTATGTATAAAATGATAATGATATAAATACCATTTGGTTTGTCAGTCTGGAGAAGACTATGACCTGAAGCGTCTGTCTCAGCGTAAGTCATTAAGGGACACAATGGAGTTAGTAAATATGGAAGAAAATCGGGTCAAACAGCTGGTGGACACAGAGTGGTATCCCCCTCATAGGACACGAGTGCAGAAGTAAGTACCAAATATCAGGTCCCTCCCCCTGCCAGTCAATAGAAAAAATATCCCCTTCACATCCTCGATTCTCCAAGGGTTACAATTACTTTCACTCTCTGCACCCTTGGAACATGTCTTTAAAATTGTAGGTTCCGTGTCCAACACCTTGTGAACAAGACAAAAAAGTTAGTCTGATCCTTTGATGTACATCAAACGAATCTCAAGGTAGCATAACGGTATATTGTAATGGCTTTAAAGTAGGGTGTCTCACCTTAGTATTTTTCATAAGAAGTGTAGCAGCCTATGATTGGTCAGTTTTTCCCCCTGGAACCAATCAAATTACTTCACTTGTCTTCGATTTTGCTATGACACATTTTAGGGTTACAGAGAGCGAAAGTGATTGTAACCTCTGGAGTATTGAGGATGCTCCCCTCATTCCTCTTCACAATACTGTTCTATAGAACTTCCCCTTCATTCTCCTCCCTTTACATGCCAGGCTTGGTGATAGTCTTCAAATGTTCCTTCAGTCCTCAAAATTAATGAAAAACTATGAAGTGGAGAACATCAGTTTTTGTGAAATCATTATGTAATCAATATTATGGAAAATTATGTCATTGTTGTATTTACTGAATCCCAGGACAGTTATCATAGATATTTTTACAGTAAACTTATATAAAAGTACTTGAATTATTTATTGTTTGTGTTAATTACAGGCCTGATATGACCAAAGGTGTGTACCCCTACAACATCAACCAAACTGAATCTGATCCTAAAGGTCAACTTTTCGTAGAAAAACCTCGAGTGATCTTCATCTCCTCCAGGGTACCGGCAGCTGATGTAAGTTGTTCCATAAAGAAGGGATCAGTGGTTAGGGAAGTTTTAGGAAGGGTTGATGGAGACGGAAACTAAACACACAGAGATATATGTATCAGGATATTGATTTTAAAATGTATTTCTCTTTTACCATGTGTATATCCTTGTGTGAACTGGCAACTTCTGAATAAAGGAATACTTTTGACATCTAGGTGGGTATATCACAGATTCATATTTACTCAGTGTGTTACATACAGTCTGGTTTGTACAGTGTTTGAAATGTCTGGTTACGTTTACCCATTGTCGTAGCAACCATGAATAGCTGATAATTTTTGGATAAAATTATAATGATTGGATACTTCTCCAATCTTAAATCTAAGTTTGTAGTTTGTTGTATACATATGATCTTATCCAGTGATGAAGTGCACAGAGCCAACAGGTAAATTATTTCTAACCTTTGTCTGCTGAAGCATGTACACTTGAAAAGCTATATATGTTTGAATGTGACTTATACTGTAAATGCTAAGTTCATGTCTTAAGTTTCTTTCTGGAGTGTGTTAGTTTTCTGTATAAAGTGTATTTTTTTTTATTTTTATTGTCAGTTATTAGCTGATGCTGTTCTATTTGGTGTCATACCAGTAGTGTATGAGTATGAAGGCACTACAACAGAAACGCTCCTCCTAAAACTTGAGAAGGCACTCCAAGGGAGACAAGCACAGTGAGTTTTTGATTATCATGCAACTTTGCTTTTTGCTGCAGTATCTTAATCTGTATTCATGAAACAGAAGGTATAAATAAATTTGTCTGGTCTTGTAATTAGTTTTCCAATTCATCATAAATTTTCAACCTTTTTCTTTCTTTGAATTTCACTCCAATTATATGTTCATGTGCTTTTTAATAGTACTTCTAGTCACAATATGTAGGATGAGTCTGAAGATAAGTTACTGAGCTGTTATTTCTAATGCTGATATGGGAAATTTTCTATTACAATTTGAACCCACATATGTCATATGGCCTCACTAGCACATTTGTGGTTCTGTTCCTCAGGAGTATTGGCTTATTTTGCCATAGCCAGGAACCAGGAGAGTTGCGATTGGTTCAGAACTGTACAGTAACTTTGAATACACTGGATGTGTCCTATGTCTCCCAGTTCTTTGAGACAGTGGCTGACCGCATTATACCACCAAACAAAGGTGGACAGATGGATGTATTTGTACCTCTGGCAGCATCAGGTATACTAGTTTTCTCACATTACATATAAGAACAACTCTTGCTAAAATTTGTATTGACCCTGTAAGTATCACAACATTTGAAATTGGAAATAAAGGTATAATATTTGTTTTGAGGAAGATTTAGTTTGTGAATGTAAGATTTTTCCACATAACTTGATGATCATAATTTGTAACTACTGCATAATCCAGGTGTGATGGGCATGGGTTTTCGATAACGTAAGTGTTGTTTCAACATTTTTTTAATTCAGCCATTTGTTGTATAATTTTAGCAGTTCTGTTAATATTGATCAAGTAAAAAGCTGGTTTTCAATCCATATTTATGCATACCAAGCCAGTTAGTTTTTTTGAACATGACCGTCGTGTGTTTCTGATCATCTATGATAAAGTCAAAGAGGTCCTCAATGACTACATCACTGGGGCTCTGGAAGGGAACAAGTTTATGGCAAATCTAATTACTGCTTTTTCAAACATTTTTAATTTATAATAAATACATCAAATATAATTTTCTCTTTAATATTTAAATAATTTAGTGTCTGTAAAGGATATTTCAATCATACATAATTTAAGACAGTTATAAAAAAAACATTGTTAATATGTTGATGTAAAATGACATTATTTATTTGATTTATATCACAACATACAAACAATATAAATAATCATAATAATAAAAATCCTGAACAAAAAATATATAACAATCCACTCATGTAGACCCTCTTTTTTCAGCTGACCTTTGAACCTTTGATTATCACATGATCATAATATTATGTCAGAGATTGTATTCACCAGCAGACGATGGTGCCAATGAGGAATCATTTGAATTTGGGTTTTTTTTCCCAAGAGTTTTGAATTGACCTGTGGGATGGGATTAGTAGAACAATGGTTTGTTCGAAATTCTGATTAAATTTTAAATTTTTTACAGTATTTAGTTCTTCAAGACCTTCAGCTGGCCTTTCGTGTTTACAAGGCTATGCAAAATATGCTGCATCTGCACTTGCATGCAAAGTATTTCTGGTACATGCAAATGATCGAAAAGACATAACGATCGAAAACAGATGACAACACCATGCACATACTGTCATTTTTCATTCTTTACAATATGGTTGCGTTGTTGTAACACATATGCCTCCAGATTTTACGTTATTGGGTGGTTGAGTGGTGCAGAGAGTACTGTATCATACTTGTCTTTCACCAAATCATCTGTGTCAACGGGAAATGGGTCACCAATGTGGGCTCTTACATTCTTTCCACACTATGGGTAGGTCTCCTGCATGCTGTCATGCAGGGCAACAAAACAAGAAGTTATGATCCACCCAGTGAAGGTTGGCAGGGGACATACAAATAGGTTCTGTCCATCAAGCGTTTCCAGAGCATATCTTCAAAACTGTTCAAGATGACTTAACAAAGCATTCTGCACACATCAGTTGATTGGTGTAGTAGTGCCTTCTTCTATAGAGGAGTTTTCAGTTTTGATATTTCTTTAATTACCATCGAAACAAATTCACTGATTGTAGCATTTCTGGAACATATCTCTAAAACCTTTTAGAAATAACTTCATTAACAAGACTTTATTCATCACTTCTATCCCACTCATCATATTGACTATTACCCCTTAATTTTCTTTTGAATGATCTCAGTAGATGGTGGAGGATCTTTAGTAAATATAAATCGATATTACTTGTAAATCGAATTTTTTTCCTAAGTCTTGCCTTGTACTTACTTTGTATGATCCCTACATCATCTGTTGTTTTACAGAGCCAGGTCTTGAGATGTTGATACAACTCAGTGTGATGACAGGCATGCAGTTGTCTTCCCCTACTGGCATCATTGGCTACTACAACCATGGTAAGTCAAACAGATAATGCTAATACCACTGACTTACATTGAACCAGAAATACAGAGTGTATGTTTTGTTGAGGGCAGCCCAGAGGACAGTTCTAGTATCACAACACTTGTTACGTCTCAGAGAGCCATGACAGTAAGGTTCAATACAGACCAAGAAAGCAATATTGTCTTACAGATTTTTAAAGTGTTTGTAACTGATGGTGGCAAAAACACCTTGACATACTAATGATATTCTTGAGCAAAGGAAGTGTTGATTTCTACAAAGTTTTGAGTCATGAGCATAAATTTTCCAGATGTTTAAGTACCTGCTGATTCTACCATGTCTATAAATGGTGTTGTAACAGTATTTTAGTCCCCTATTCCATACTTTTTTCTGGAGTAGCCTGTACCTGTGTTATCTTGTGTTTCCAGTTAATAGTGACTGGTTGTTGCCTTACAAAGAAGGGTCACCTCCGTCCATGTATTTCTGTACATCCAAACTGGATGTATGGACCAATACTGCTGACCAGGCAAAGGAAGCGCTGACCACCTGTAAGAAATTGCTGTCCCCGTACTTTGAGAAAACACACAAGGATATTGTGTCACAGCTGACAGGTAGGTGATATGTACTTATCAACAGTTATATCATATTAACTTTCATGTTACAAATTACTTTCACTTGTGAAAACATATTTGGTGATTGTATGAAATTAATATAATTAAAACATCAGAAAATAAACGAAATTAAACTGTGTAAGAGATGTTATTATTTGAAGAAAATTTATTAGATGACTACAAATCTATGAATATCATATTATCAGGTTTGTTTATATAAAAAAATGCATCAACATATTCTCTGATTCAAACTTCTATTATGAATGTTGTAAGCCAGAATTCTTTATAAAGTGTGTGCCAGATTGATTTTATGTTTGAAACTTTGATTTAAGATGTCAGATTCTGACAGACATTGGTTAATAGTATAAGATCTGTGAGTTTGATAACTCTCTTTACCTTACTACAATGTTTTTGGTCTTTTTCTTGTTTGCTTTTTTTTATAATAATGTTCATCAAAGTTAAAGTGAATTTGATTTAGTTAGTAGTCTGTTGAGATGTATGTATCGACAGTCCAATTTCTTATCTTTGTAGGCCAAGTTGTCTTTGATGTGATTGGTCAGACAGAAATCCAGGGGACCAACAAAATAGCTGATGTTCTGACAGAGGGTCTGCGCCATCTCGGCAGTGAGGACAATGTAAGTCAGTGGACAGATTTTATTTTTGTTGATATTTGTATTTACATGTACTGAACCATCAGGCCACAACAGGATGAAAATGGAAGGTAAAAGCTCTTTAAGTGGATTTGTTATTATTATACCTCTGTCAATAAATGGGAAAGGATTTCCATCAAACTGTCAATTTATTTAGAGTTGTTGCCCTCTGTTCATTATTTTGATAACAAAGTTTGGCCTGATGCAGGGAACTGGATTACTTGCGATGCTTTGCCTTGTTTCAAATTATTCATCTTTTCCAGGTGAACCCTCTTGAATTCCTTGGGAAATTTTTACTGCAACGAGCAGGTGTGGATGATCTGTCATTTACAAGTAGCCTGGAAAAGGTAGAGATAGTATCTTAAACACAATACTTCTGTCTATAAAATATAACACACAGTACTGCTGTCTATAAGATATCACATATATCACATAATATAGAATACCTACCTCAGTGTGATATCACACTTTACTGTCATGGCCTTCTTATTTGTAATTTCAATTTTTCATTAAGTTTTAATTGGCCCTACTGATCTTCTCTGTGGTAATGAGAGTATAGTTATAAAGTGATGGTAGAAATTGGATCATGTTTCTCATGATAGTAATTTTGTATGTTACAAAAAATGTATATTTCAAATTTTATCAGACAATCATGAATATTTTTCAATGAAATAATCTTCATTTTAAAAAAGCCCAGGTAAAATTAGACAACACTGACTAACATCATTATAAAGTATATTCTTTGATTTAATTCAGTCAAAGACAATGAAGAAACCTCCTGTTAATCGTTATGAGTCTATGGACTCATCAGCTGGTGATGATGAGGTGTCCCTGGAGGATAGTGAGGTTGAACAGATCAATGGTCACACCAAGGAAGAGGAGATGACAGCGTTTGGGGAAGAGGATGAGGTCGGGGAGGAAGAGGCACTAAAGGATGGTAAGAACAATAAGGCTCCTGTTATGTGTGTCTATGTCAGAATAGTTTGTCTGCTGTATGATATAAATAAATATTTATGTATAGTTTAGACATTAATCTTTATGCAGTTATAATCAGTCTTTGTTGTGTTCTGTCAGTGTTCCTTTGAAATCTGCTGGATTATACATAAAATTTCTATCAATCATTATTATGAAGCAATGTTGTCACATTGTATGTACAAGTCTTAAGGCCCTATTTGGCTTTAAAAAATGGGCCTGTATCTTGTATTAAAGAAGTAAACAATTATCCTGATCAACTCTTCAGTTTTTAGTATATTCCAGTTATTTATGCCAGATATCATCAATGAAGATCACAAGATTTAAATATGAAAATAAGCATATAAGGAAAAATATGTTAGTATCCATGTCATGGTTTTCTGTGACTTTACCAGAGGAGACCTCACCACGAGAAATGAGAGAGAAGGCGCAGAATGAACAGAGTGAAAAGGAACAACAGAGACAGAAGAAGAAGGATAGAAAAGAGCAGATGACAAAGACAGGGAAAGTGACAAAGCAGATGAAAGATTTCAAAGTAACATTTGGTACCATGACCCTGACAGGGAAACATGAACGTCTGGTTAGTAGATGGTCTGAGGTGAACGTTTCAGCTGTACATTCAAAGCATATATTCCGTTCATCATTAAATCATTATTACTATAACCCATCATTCTTGTGATTTACTTTTGCAAAGTTGATAGTCGAGATTAAGACAGGGATAAGTAAACAATGATTATAGTGCAGTAAAGTCTTCTTTATGAAAAAAAAATCAAAACAATTTTGTTAACATGCAGAAAATTATGAAATTCAGGAGCCACAAATGCAATTTGTTAACATTATTTTTCTCATTAATTCAGTAAACATTCAGTGTGTTTCTCATTAATTCAGTAAACATTTAGTGTGTTTCTCATTAATTCAGTAAACATTCAGTGTGTTTTACATTAATTCAGTAAACATTCAGTGTGTTTTACATTAATTCAGTAAACATTCAGTGTGTTTTACATTAATTCAGTAAACATTCAGTGTGTTTTACATTGATGCAGTAAACATTCAGTGTGTTTTACATTAATTCAGTAAACATTCAGTGTGTTTTACATTAATTCAGTAAACATTCAGTGTGTTTTACATTAATGCAGTAAACATTCAGTGTGTTTTACATTAATGCAGTAAACATTCAGTGTGTTTTACATTAATGCAGTAAACATTCAGTGTGTTTTACATTAATTCAGTAAACATTCAGTGTGTTTTACATTAATTCAGTAAACATTCAGTGTGTTTTACATTAATTCAGTAAACATTCAGTGTGTTTTACATTAATTCAGTAAACATTCAGTGTGTTTTACATTAATTCAGTAAACATTCAGTGTGTTTTACATTAATTCAGTAAACATTCAGTGTGTTTTACATTAATTCAGTAAACATTCAGTGTGTTTCTCATTAATGCAGTAAACATTCAGTGTGTTTCTCATTAATGCAGTAAACATTCAGTGTGTTTTACATTAATTCAGTAAACATTCAGTGTGTTTTATATTAATGCAGTAAACATTCAGTGTGTTTTACATTAATGCAGTAAACATTCAGTGTGTTTTATATTAATGCAGTAAACATTCAGTGTGTTTTACATTAATTCAGTAAACATTCAGTGTGTTTTACATTAATTCAGTAAACATTCAGTGTGTTTTACATTAATTCAGTAAACATTCAGTGTGTTTTACATTAATGCAGTAAACATTCAGTGTGTTTTACATTAATGCAGTAAACATTCAGTGTGTTTTACATTAATGCAGTAAACATTCAGTGTGTTTTACATTAATACAGTAAACATTCAGTGTGTTTTACATTAATTCAGTAAACATTCAGTGTGTTTTACATTAATACAGTAAACATTCAGTGTGTTTTACATTAATTCAGTAAACATTCAGTGTGTTTTACATTAATACAGTAAACATTCAGTGTGTTTTATAATAATGCAGTAAACATTCAGTGTGTTTTACATTGATGCAGTAAACATTTAGTGTGTTTTACAATTGTGTATCTGTTTGAGAATTGTTGTAAAATATCTTATCTCACTGATGTATACTCCTACAGACTACTAAGAAGTTCAGTGAACACCCTGAGAAGAGAACACCTGTTGCTATGGAGATTCTTTCTAGTGAGGTGGAGTACAACAGGATATTGAAAGGAATAAAAAACACCTACGTAAAACCTCTTAAGGCAGCTCTCAGTTCAGACAGGTAGCACTCACAACCTTCAGTAGTCAATTAAGATAACATAAAATTATCCAGAGTTTTTAAAATGAGCAATGTAAAAATACTGAAGATGATTTTTACAATTTGTAGGGCATGTTTGCTTTTTTCACATAATAATTTGAAAGAAAAAAATTCAATAATGAAGTGTGTTTATTGCACCGCAGAAATCACACCTTCAAGAGATCCTGTAGATTTGGAAGGGACTTCCATGATACATGGAGGCAGATTTAAATGATTATGTCATGTTTAATTTCAGGGCCATTGCCAGTTTCCAGAATGTGCAGATCATGTTCACAGACCTCATGTATATATTGGATGTTAGCAGGTAACGGTTCCATCATGCTTCAGTCATTGTCAAATGGTCCATAGAAAACATTTCTGTAGACTATCTAGAGCTTGTTAATATTCAGGGCACACAAAATTCATAATTCTTCTGACTGCAAGTGGAAAAAAATTAAACATGAGAATTATAAACCCTTGATTATAATATTGAAGAGTAAAAGTAAATCCAATACAGTAGACAGATTGCTGTAAATAATTTCTATAGGTAATGCTGTTCTGTAAGTTTCTGTCTGATTAGTAAAACAATTAATGTTTGGTAAACACTTCACATCAAATATAAACACTGCAATACTTTAAATCTACTGTATACATATTTTGCTATAAATTGGATGAAAAGATGTCATGTCCTGAATGCTGATCCATGTTTGATCTGTGCACTGATGACATTGTGTGTGAATGGTTCCCTCACTCAATGAATTAAATTAGTGATGGTCATTTTCATGCATTAATTTTTCTGAATAAATTATTTTTACGAATCAGTACATAAACTATCATTACAGTGAAATGGTAGAGGATTTGAAGAACCGCCTTGCTGACTGGGACCCAACCAATACATGCCTGGGGGACATTTTTGTTCGCTTCTGTACTCACTTAAAGGTCTACACCAACTTCGTCAATAACTATGACGTCATCCTGCAATGTATAGAACGAACCAAAGAACAAACACCGTCCTTTCGTGCATTTCTTCACCGACATGAACGCATCCCAGAGACCCGTATGATGACGTGAGTTTGACACTAAATCTCAAAACCAGTCCTAACCAATGCCAACTATTGTATTAATGTTAGTTGAATCTGTGATGTAATATTGTGGTTGGTATCAGCTTATTCAGATATACCTACCATGAATTTAATTATAATGAGATGTCCCAGTTTTAATACATTGATGGAAAACATATGCTATGAGATTCCAGGACTGGAAAACTGACACAGCTTGGAGATTGAGGTTAGCTTTTCCTCACAAAGCTTAGAATAAAGGTTTTTTTATAGTATAAAAAAGTTCATATTGTTTTTAAACTGTAATTTGCTTATCATTTTACTTGAAACAGTCTGCAAGAGCTGATGTTGCTGCCTCCACGTCGTATAGAACAGTATGCCTTCTTGTTGGGCTGGTTTGAGATGCACACACCTAAGCTGCATCAGGACAGAGCTGACCTAGCTGGTGCCATACAAACTATAGGAACTCTAAACAGACATATACAAGAGGTATGCTTCACCTTCAGGATATCGGTTTTATCTGATATAGGATGTAGGCTTTATCTGATATACAGGAGGGAGACTTTATTTTAAAAAGGATGTAGGTTTTATCTGATATACAAGAGGGAGACTTTATCTGATATAGGATGTAGGCTTTATCTGATATACAGGAGGGAGACTTTATTTTAAAAGGGATGTAGGTTTTATCTGATATACAGGAGGGAGACTTTATTTTATAAAGGATGTAGGCTTTATCTGATATACAAGAGGGAGACTTTATTTTATAAAGGATGTAGGCTTTATCTGATATACAAGAGGGAGACTTTATCTGATATAGGATGTAGGCTTTATCTGATATACAGGAGGGAGACTTTATTTTAAAAAGGATGTAGGTTTTATCTGATATACAGGAGGGAGACTTTATTTTATAAAGGATGTAGGCTTTATCTGATATACAAGAGGGAGACTTTATTTTATAAAGGATGTAGGCTTTATCTGATATACAGGAGGGAGACTTTATTTTATAAAGGATGTAGGCTTTATCTGATATACAAGAGGGAGACTTTATTTTATAAAGGATGTAGGCTTTATCTGATATACAAGAGGGAGACTTTATTTTATAAAGGATGTAGGCTTTATCTGATATACAGGAGGGAGACTTTATTTTATAAAGGATGTAGGCTTTATCTGATATACAGGAGGGAGACTTTATTTTATAAAGGATGTAGGCTTTATCTGATATACAAGAGGGAGACTTTATTTTATAAAGGATGTAGGCTTTATCTGATATACAGGAGGGAGACTTTATTTTATAAAGGATGTAGGCTTTATCTGATATACAAGAGGGAGACTTTATCTGATATAGGATGTAGGCTTTATCTGATATACAGGAGGGAGACTTTATTTTATAAAGGATGTAGGCTTTATCTGATATACAGGAAGGAGACTTTATTTTAAAAAGGATGTAGGTTTTATCTGATATACAGGAGGGAGACTTTATTTTATAAAGGATGTAGGCTTTATCTGATATACAGGAGGGAGACTTTATTTTATAAAGGATGTAGGCTTTATCTGATATACAGGAGGGAGACTTTATTTTATAAAGGATGTAGGCTTTATCTGATATACAAGAGGGAGACTTTATTTGATAAAAAGGATGTAGGCTTTATCTGAGGTTTTATCTGATATACAGGAGGGAGACTTTATTTTATAAAGGATGTAGGCTTTATCTGATATACAGGAGGGAGACTTTATTTTATAAAGGATGTAGGTTTTATCTGATATACAGGAGGGAGACTTTATTTTAAAAAGGATGTAGGCTTTATCTGATATACAGGAGGGAGACTTTATTTTATAAAGGATGTAGGCTTTATCTGATATACAGGTTTTAGAGGGAGACTTTATCTGATATACAAGAGGGAGATATAAAGGATGTAGGCTTTATCTGATATACAGGAGGGAGACTTTATTTTATAAAGGATGTAGGCTTTATCTGATATACAAGAGGGAGACTTTATTTGATAAAGGATGTAGGCTTTATCTGATATACAGGAGGGAGACTTTATTTTAAAAAGGATGTAGGCTTTATCTGATATACAAGAGGGAGACTTTATTTTAAAAAGGATGTAGGTTTTATCTGATATACAAGAGGGAGACTTTATTTTATAAAGGATGTAGGCTTTATCTGATATACAAGAGGGAGACTTTATTTTATAAAGGATGTAGGCTTTATCTGATATACAAGAGGGAGACTTTATTTTATAAAGGATGTAGGCTTTATCTGATATACAAGAGGGAGACTTTATTTTATAAAGGATGTAGGCTTTATCTGATATACAGGAGAGACTTTATTTTATAAAGGATGAGGCTTTATCTGATATACAAGAGGGAGACTTTATTTTATAAAGGATGTAGGCTTTATCTGATATACAGAGAGGGAGACTTTATTTTAAAAAGGATGTAGGCTTTATCTGATATACAAGAGGGAGACTTTATTTTATAAAGGATGTAGGCTTTATCTGATATACAAGAGGGAGACTTTATTTGATAAAGGATGTAGGCTTTATCTGATATACAAGAGGGAGACTTTATTTTATAAAGGATGTAGGCTTTATCTGATATACAAGAGGGAGACTTTATTTTATAAAGGATGTAGGCTTTATCTGATATACAGGAGGGAGACTTTATTTTATAAAGGATGTAGGCTTTATCTGATATACAAGAGGGAGACTTTATTTTATAAAGGATGTAGGAGACTTTATTTTATAAAGGATGTAGGCTTTATCTGATATACAAGAGGGAGACTTTATTTGATAAAGGATGTAGGCTTTATCTGATATACAGGAAGGGGACTTTATTTTATAAAGGATGTAGGCCTTGTCCTATATAGCATGCAGGTTTTATCTGATATACATAAAGGAACCTTTATTGTATATGGAGGAGATTGGCTTAAACTCATATTGGAGATTGGCTATATCTTCTAAGCAGGAGGTGGGCCTTATCTTTTATACATGAGGTAGGCTTTGTGTTATATACAGGAGGTGGACAATAGCTTATATAGGAGGTGGACAATATCTTACATAGGAGATAGGCTTTGTGTTATATACAGGAGGTGGACAATAGCTTATATAGGAGGTGGACAATATCTTACATAGGAGATAGGCTTTGTGTTATATACAGGAGGTGGACAATATCTTACATAGGAGATAGGCTTTGTGTTATATATAGGAGGTGGACAATATCTTACATAGGAGATAGGCTTTGTGTTATATATAGGAGGTGGACAATATCATACATAGGAGATAGGCTTTGTGTTATATACAGGAGGTGGACAATAGCTTATATAGGAGGTGCGCTTAATATTATACAGGAGGTGGGCTTTATCTTCTATAGGATGTAGGCTTAATCATATATATAGGAGGGAGGCTTTACTTTATATGCAGGAGGTGAGCTTAATCTTATACCTGAGATGGGCTTTATGATACATGCAGGGGATGGGCTTTATCTTATATGCAAGAGTTTGGCTATATCTTATAAACAGGAGGTGTGCCTTATCTTATATACAGGAGGGAGGCTTTATTTTTTGTTATATGCAGGAGGTGGGCTTAATCTTATACCAGAGATCGGCTTTATGATACATACAGGGGATGGGCTTTATTTTATATGCTAGAGAGGGGCTTTATCTTATACCAGAGTTGCGCCATATCTTATTTACAGGCAATGGACTTTATCTTATAAACAGAAGGGAGACTTTATTTTTGTTGTATGTAGGATGTGGGCTTAATCATATACCAGAGATGGGCTTTATCATACATGAAGGGGATGGTCACAATTAGGTTTTACTTATTTCACAAACACCTATTATTTCTATCTTACTTTCTTCGCAAAAGGTAAATCTAGGAATAATCTCATGAATGGCATGTTGTACATACAGTAACAAACGTAATTGAACAGATATGGAATCAAATTAATTCAGGCAAATGTTGGTTGAAATCTTAAAGGGATATTTAGCCCAAGTTAAAAAAAACTCTAGCTGTTCTGTACCTTTTAAGAACTCATTCTAATAACTTCAAACTATTGTTAGCATCAATAAATCTCTCCTGTGGTCAGTTTGGGCAGGCGAAATTGGTGGGAACACTCCCAGCAAATATAAATTTAACCCTCTAGATATAGCGCATCGGGAAATCTGGAACTAAAAGGTCATGAATCATACATTTTATTGAGAGTATTAATGGGTAAATACACAAGCATGTGTGCTGCTAACTTAACTTTCTGCTCGGGTTGCAATTTTTTTACTTAATGAGGCTTATTTTTTGTAGATTTTATAATTTACAAAAACGTTTCATTTTGTTTGGCTAATATCAATGCAAACCTGTCATGATGCAATCAGAGTCGTGTGAATGTTTGTAAATAAATCTAGCTAGATCTATTAAGACTTTCTGCACCTAAGAACATGAGTAGATAATTTTGTACCATTTTCTGTAAAAGCATCTTATGAAATCTTAGCTTGTGTGGAATGTTCGTTCAAAAATGATTAAACTGATCAATATTGCTCTCAATTGTATTTCAGACAAAGCTGAGACTTGAGAGAGACAGAACCATGATAGCACTGCAGAAGTCTATTCTGAACTCTCCAGTAAGTTGATGATATGTTGATACTTGGGTAGTGTTTAACAATGCTTGGAAAGCTTTGACTGAGACATGACATAGTCTTCAAGCACAGCTCAGCATTGGGGAAGTATAACAACTAGCGCATCTCTATGCTTTAATTATCTCCCCTTGACCTTAGCTGTTGATGAAAGGTTACACTCGCAAGTGATGTCAATTGTTGTTAATATATAATAATACTGACTATTGATTTAAACATATCGTGATAGCTAAAGCTGTTTAGTTAAACTGGCAAGTAGGTACTAATGTTGGAAAGAGAAAGCTTATTTAGATTCTGGAGAGATCTGCATCAGGTCAGTTATGTACAGTATTGTTAAGGAGTCCAGTGTTCTAAACCAAGTAATGATACATCAACATTGTGGTAAAATGATTGCTGTGGAAAAAATGCAAATATCCAAAGAAAATATTTCACATTTCACTTTGTCAAAGGAGCTATTGATATACAAATTTTGTCATTTCTTTTTCTTCTTATCTATGCAGACTTGTTTTTTCCAGTGCTATTTTGAAAAAGGGAGATCTGATTCAAATGTAAAATTCTTTGGGTATTTCCAGAGTCTCCTGGAATCCAATCGCTACCTAATAAAACAGCTTGATGTGGCTAACCTTCGACCACCAGCCAAGACCATGGTCCCTGAGCTCAGGTAAGGACTTAAAAATAGCATAGTCCCAATCAGTGTTACTGGAGTTTTGTCAGTAGGTTTAAGTAGTAACAGAGAAGTACAGATACTGTAAGTTTGAAACTAAAAACTGCATAAAGAAATAAAAAGAAAAGGAGCAATCCCAATCAAACTTGCTACAATGAAAAATTCTTAGACTTGTTTCGTAAATTCACATATCAAATGGAAACAAATGTAAGGTCTGTTTTCCTTTTTATCACATACTTTTTTCAAGCAAGTATGATATCTTGTCTATATCTATAGTGGCGTCACATTACATTACATCACACATGTGTGATACAAAAAAAATGGCATGGATATGTACACTGAATTTTTAAAAAGGCAGTCATGTAACGAAAATTAAACTTGGAAAAAGTATAATTACTTTTTATGTTTAATTGCAGTTAAAATATATATATATATATAAAGTTGCTGAACTCGGATTTTAATGAGGAAATTTGAGTTTCTGTTGCTGATGGTTATCACTGATTCTTATAACAAATGAGTCATACAAATAGAAATGTGTGTAGTTATTAACAGGTGCCCTGAACCAATAAACAGCCAGTGAATTACTGTAGACTTCTCATATCACTAAACAACATGGGAACTGTTGTAGACTTCTCATATCACTAAACAACATGGGAACTGTTGTAGACTTCTCATATCACTAAACAACATGGGAACTGTTGTAGACTTCTCATATCACTAAACAACATGGGAACTGTTGTAGACTTCTCATATCACTAAACAACATGGGAACTGTTGTAGACTTCTCATATCACTAAACAACATGGGAACTGTTGTGGACTTCTCATATCACTAAACAACATGGGAACTGTTGTAGACTTCTCATATCACTAAACAACATGGGAACTGTTGTAGACTTCTCATATCACTAAACAACATGGGAACTGTTGTAGACTTCTCATATCACTAAACAACATGGGAACTGTTGTAGACTTCTCATATCAATAAACAACATAGGAACTGTTGTAGACTTCTCATATCACTAAACAACATGGGAACTGTTGTAGACTTCTCATATCACTAAACAACATGGGAACTGTTGTAGACTTCTCATATCACTAAACAACATGGGAACTGTTGTAGACTTCTCATATCACTAAACAACATGGGAACTGTTGTAGACTTCTCATATCACTAAACAACATGGGAACTGTTGTAGACTTCTCATATCACTAAACAACATGGGAACTGTTGTAGACTTCTCATATCACTAAACAACATGGGAACTGTTGTAGACTTCTCATATCACTAAACAACATGGGAACTGCTGTAGATTTCTCATATCACTAAACAACATGGGAACTACTGTAGATTTCTCATATCACTAAACAACGTAGGAACTGTTGTAGACTTCTCATATCACTAAACAACATGGGAACTGCTGTAGATTTCTCATATCACTAAACAACATGGGAACTGTTGTAGACTTCCCATATCACTAAACAACATGGGAACTGTTGTAGATTTCTCATATCACTAAACAACATGGGAACTGTTGTAGACTTCTCATATCACTAAACAACATGGGAACTGCTGTAGACTTCTCAAATAAGTCAACAACATGGGAACTGTTGTAGATTTCTCATATCAATAAACAACATAGGAACTGTTGTAGACTTCTCATATCACTAAACAACATGGGAACTGCTGTAGATTTCTCATATCACTAAACATCATGGGAACTGTTGTAGACTTCTCATATCACTAAACAACATGGGAACTTCTCATATCACTAAACAACATGGGAACTGTTGTAGACTTCTCATATCACTAAACAACATGGGAACTGCTGTAGATTTCTCATATCACTAAACAACATGGGAACTGTTGTAGACTTCTCATATCACTAAACAACATGGGAACTGTTGTAGACTTCTCATATCACTAAACAACATGGGAACTGTTGTAGACTTCCCATATCACTAAACAACATGGGAACTGTTGTAGACTTCTCATATCACTTAACAACATGGGAACTGTTGTAGACTTCTCATATCACTAAACAACATGGGAACTGTTGTAGATTTCTCATATCACTTAACAACATGGGAACTGTTGTAGACTTCTCATATCACTAAACAACATGGGAACTGTTGTAGACTTCTCATATCACTTAACAACATGGGAACTGTTGTAGACTTCTCATATCACTAAACAACATGGGAACTGTTGTAGACTTCTCATATCACTAAACAACATGGGAACTGCTGTAGACTTCTCATATCACTAAACAACATGGGAACTGCTGTAGACTTCTCAAATCAGGAAACAAACAACCAGTGAATATTTCAGACTTGAGGTGAGGTGAGGTAACTACCAGCCACTAAAATGATACCCTTTTTCAAAACACTTCTAATTATTTAAGGAGTCAAGAAACCTAGCAAACAAGTAAATTTTTAAATCGTTAGAAATGTGTCAAAGTCATCTCAGACCATAAGAAACAGTTCTAAGAGTCTGTTGTCTTTATCACACCACTCATTGTTTGTGCTGTTGTGATATTTTGATGAAGGTTTCATCTTTGTCAGCAAGCCAATTACTCTTTCCTGGCTGTGAAATATTATCTCATCAGAAATTCTGGTTTTGGTTGCTGTCTGATTGGATGTCCTCTTGTCCATAATGGATATTGCTCCAGTGCTCTATTTGATTGGCTGTCCTCTTGAGACTCCATATGGGCTGCAATCTGATTGGCTGTTCTCTTGAAGCTCCAAATGGATGGTCTAGTACTTCTATTTAATTGGCTGGCCTCTAGAGGCTCAATATGGATGTTTCTCAGTGCTTTACAGCTGAAAATTTCTGGTCTCTCTAACAGTATCTTTATATAGAATTATTTTGCTGTCATGTTTATCCTGTAATAAGCTGATGAGCAGGTCACCTCTGGCTGATAGACTTGCTGCTGAGTACTTATGGGATTAGAGAAATAAAGGCAAAGGTTGTTTGCAGATTTGTTTTCACTTAAAAGAAAGTCTTACCTGACATTTCTAGCTTTTCATATCACTTGTTATGAAAGTGATGGAAGTGAAAAACTTTGTGTCTTAAGGAAGAGTAAATATTGGTTTTATTTGTCTGTCTGCAGTAGTTAAAACTTATTCAGGGTGATGAGCACGAAGATTGTCACTAGCATTTTGACCCCTACATATCTAACATTCCAAATGTTGCTTTATTAAATACTGTATCTGTATCCAAGTGTTACAGCTGTTACCACTGTCAGGTGAGTCACCCTCATCATAAAATTTATTGTTAATAGGATACAACTTGGTTTATTTCCATTGTAAAATAAAATCAATATCTATTGTACCTTCATCTTATAGTGTCCTGCCTGGACTTCTGCACAGCTAGAATATATCTAATTAAATCTGTCTCCTAGACTTCTACACACCTAGATTATACCTTATCTAATCTCCATGGAATTTTACTTATATCTCAATACTTGTCATGTTTGGAATGTCAAAATTCATATTTGTGTGTAACATTTAACTTATCATCGTGACATTGTCATGTTCACACATTTTCAGTGTAAAGACTGCTTCAGGTTCAAAGTTTTTTTTTAGTTGATATGAATTTATTGATTGTAAAATTGCTAATATACGCTGGTAATTCATTATGATTTTGTGTTAATTTGTAAAGGTATCCATACACGAAAGGAGATCTCAGCAATTTTGTTTTGGATAATATCTTTCTTCCTGCTAAATTACAAGAAAATACCAGAAAATTGTTTGGGTGTTTTGTTAAAAAAACTGTTGTACAAAGCATGTAGCAAGGAAAAGTAACGATAATGAATGTTTTTATTGAAAAAGACGTGCTCAATAGATTTGTACAAGTGTCATAAATTTGGTTATATTTTGGTTTTAATTACTTTAAAGATTTTGCAGATTGTCTCATATCATTTCTAGGTGTACGTGACTGATACCATTGAGTTTAGGATATTACGTTATCTTATTCTGTTCAAGTGTAGACACTTTACTTTTTACCTCATGGTTGACAGGCACTGTAAAGTATAGACTCTCTTAAATTGCTACATTAATGCCAAAGATAATCTTTTTTCAAACACATTATAAATATGTCACATTTTAAAATACTGAGTTACAGATTAACATAAAGGAAGTGAAAAGATATTATTTGACTTTTCAAAAAATTGTCTTTATTCAAATAGAAACTCAGAAGTTGAATTGAAGAAATATCCTATTTTAATAACAAAATGTGATAAAGAGGATAGATGTTTTTTTGGTTATCTCCCCTTACCCAAGTCCTACAATATGGCAACCAGCTGACTAATAATCTAAAATTAGATCACATACAGACATTTTTTTGACATCATCGTCTGCATAGCTGAAATTTTGGAAGCATTTCAAATAAAAATGTTAACTTATGTGCTACTTGCCCCGCCATGAACTGTATTAAACAACAGATATTTCATGTTGTATTTTTGTTAGTTAAAATAAGTGTTAAGTAATCCTTATTAAAGAGAAATAAATATCCATATTCCTATGAGTTATGTAAAACTATAAAACCTCATTATAATAGGTGTCCAAATCATGCTTAAACTGCATATACCATTACTGAAACTGTTGTCTAATTCTTCAGTGTGGCATTTCTTACTGATATACTTGCACATCTTATCACCAGTAGATGGTAAAGAATTTCCATGTAACATCCTTGTCTGTATTCAATTATCATGTCTGGGACAAGGTGATGTTAAACTTCTTTGAAATTTTCCAACACAGAATGGCAAAGTTACAAAACTTCAATTAACATCAAATGTTTTTTTTTAATGGTATCTTTGTTGGGTACATTATAAAGAAAAAGAATACTACATACACTTTAACTGTTCCTAGAGCTGAAAGACATTTAAGAAGAAGTCGTTAATATTATGAAGATACTTTTTTGTCTGTTAAAAGACTAAAACAGTGCTGTTAGAATGTGCTGTGTATTGTAAGTCTGAGCAGATTTGTCAATACTTA